TCTTTCCCCTACGGCACCCATGGAGCAGCTGGGTGGGCACATGGTGACCATGTCTGCTCCTGTGACGGCAGTGGAGACTGCCTCCCCTAGAGCTACCACTGCCCAGGGGGGCAGCTTTGGGAAGGCAACGCCGCCGCTCACCACAGCCAGCCATGCCCCGCAGGCTGGGCCAACGGGTGCACCTCTTAGTCCCTCAGCCAGTGCAACAAACCACAGCGGCAGCGTCCCTGAGGTGGCACTGACCACGGTGAGACCTCCTGTGCTGACAACACTGGCCAGTCGCCAGCCAACCCCAGGTGATGCCAGTACCACAAAAGCCCACAGAGCTCAAACGCCCACTGCCACTAAGCATGTGTATACCACTGGTGAAAGCACAGAAGCTGTGTATCCCACCACTGCAAGGCCTAGTAAAGTCACTGAGGAAAATATCCTGGTTACAAGTCCTTCTGAAGCCACTCCAACCAGCAAGACCACTGGGAGCATTGCAACTACCTTGTCTGCCACCAAGCCAACCACTGTTCCTCCATCGAGCAGCACGACTGGGCTGAGGATATCATCTCCAGCAACAGGTAACGTGTCTAATGGCACTCGTCAGTGGTGGGACAAAGGGGCCAGCAGTGCATGGGTCCCACTTTAAGGCTCTTTGAAGGGTTATATATGTACATAAGATGTCTGTTGTCAGCAGGGTTTAAGGAAAAGAACTCAGTCTCCATGTTGTTATTTTTAAGCTAAGGGTTTAGCAATCAAGCTTAAAAGGGGGTGAGCAATCTGGTGAACATTTCTAATAGAAACATTAAACTCAAATTTGAGGATTTTAAGAAAATAAAGCTCATTTGCCTTCCACATAAGCATAAGATGCATTTGATATTTGTCAATTAATTGACAATATCAAATGATATCAATCAATATCTATCTTATTAATGAGAAAAGGTGATTGACTGTCACTTGGTATTTGCGTTAGAACTTCTTTTATTATGATCTATGGTCATTTTGTCCCCACCTCACTAAATAATCTCCTACTTAAGGGCCTGTTGCGTTTCCTGGTAGGCTCCGTACCATAGTCTTGCAGGGTGTGTTGTTGGAATCATTTATTACGGCTGTCAGGCTCCTGATCTTCTCAGGTAAACACACTGGCTGAGGTTTTATATGAATGTCAACTGATTGTGTTTGAAGTTTATGAGCCTGACGCTCCTGCCACTGTAGGAAGTTGTGTGTGCTGACTGCACTACTTTCAGTAAAACACTGTCAGTAGTATATATTCCATCCAGTAATCAAGTATTTAAAAGTTATTTCTCAGGCTGATTGGTTTTCATTATAGTTATGGCTTCATATAAAAAAATTCACTGTAAGGGAATGGATTTTTTTTTTATCAAGAAATTAAGGTAAGTCTCCTTTTTACCAGCTGATTAACGCTTTTGTCCAAGTTACTCTTCCCTTCAAATACAGAGTTTTGCCATTTACCAAAATGCAGAAGCTCCTTTTGCTGCCTTGGACATGGTGCTTTGTACGTGGGCACTCACTGCACTCACTGCCACAAAAGAAGAAGCTGCCCTGGCCCACACTGTACAAAGCAAAACTGAAGGATGGTGAATGGAAAGCTAGTGATTTAAAATACTCCCACAGATTTCTGGCTGCTTGGTTCAGAGACACCTAACCTTCTCCTTGCTGATGCTGAGGCAGCAATGCCAGGCTAGTTGAGATGTGGAGATTTTGACAAATGGTGTGTCCCAACGCAGGTGTTAGCTCAGGACTGTCTGGTCTTCAGGGCCTGTGTGATGCCACGAGGTACCATGGCACTGCCAGAAACTCACACATGGGTTTGGCTCGTGCTTTGTGTTTTAACCACAGAGCTCAGCCCTCCTGCCCCTGCTGCAGTGCTTGGCAGCAGCTGCAGAATAGCAACGAGTGGTGTGTAAGCTGGCTTGCTCGTCTTGGACCACCTTGTCACTGCCAAGTCCACAGTCCTGGCTATGGCCTGCCCTCACAACTGTGTGTGATGTGCACTTATGCTCCTGTGAGTCCTATGCACAGCAAGAGGATCATTTTTGACCAGGACATGGTTATTTTCGAATGGAAGTGTTGAATGTCTTCTCCAGAATTTGAAGCTTGAATTGACTGATGATGGACTGGCTTAGGTTGGAAGGGACCCTAGAGGTCATCTAATCCAACCTCCCTGCCATGGGCAAGGACACCTCTCAACTAGAGTATGTTGCTCAAGGCCTCATGTGAATCTACAGTCATGAACACCCTGACACTCCATATTTCACAGCTGGTGTCTGCTCCCCAAGCCCTTGCTCACCCAGTGGGAAGTGCATTATGGGTGGTGGCACAGGCAGATATCGCTGCTAAGGCCATCCCCAGCCTGGCATGGAGGAGGCTGCAGCCCTGGTAAAGGAGGTGATGGCAGCCAGGGCTTCCTCTACTGGTACTGAGTGATCTACAGACAGCATCAGTGCTCAAGCACTAGCTTTGGATCACAGAAACAAGGCTTGGATGAAGAGGACAGGGCTTTGGTGAAAAAGCCCGTGCTCCCATGTCTAGCTCTGGTTGTTGAGGTCCCTTTTTTTGGCTTCTCTATCCATAATTGTTTTTGAAAAGCATCCTGAGATCTGCAGATGAGCAGTGTGGTGGACAAGCTGGATGTTCATATTAACAGGGATCAACGCTGGATCCCAAAAGCTTTTGAATGAATTTTCAAGAAAGTGGTTTGCATTTATTCTTTCAGCTCCAACAGAATAATTAAGAACAGGATAAATAGTAAGTTCAAATGGTGCAATGAAACATCTGATAATGCTCAGGGGGTCACAGAAAAGAGCCAAGTTCATCTCTTTTAGCACAACAGCTAATGATATTTGTGGTTCTGTAATTATAGCCTGTTTTTTTTTTTTTTTTCTGCTTTTGTAGATGTGGATAAGTGTCTTTCCAACCCTTGTCCTGCACTGGCTACCTGCAACAGCACTCGTGGCTCCTATGTCTGTCAGTGTCCTCTTGGATATGAGCTGGAAAAAGGAAAGTGCAATTTAGGTAAGAAAACAAAAGTGAAAAACCAGGGGAGAAAAAGATGGGAATAATTATCTGCAATCTTGTACAGTAAATTAACCAAGGCTCAGACTAGTTCAGGAGCTTAATGTTCCTCCCAGCCACCACTTTTACCGAGAGGCTTTTGCTGTTTACACAAGTGCGATGTGCAATGCCTGGCGTGCTGGGCTGCCCCGGGAGCAGGCGCAGGGCTGGCTGAGGCTTTCTTAACAACACAGCAACAGAGCGGTGGGCTCGGCCTGTTAGTCAGGGCGGATGTGACCCTTCTGTTCCTCATGTGTTTTACAAGCCCCCAAAAGCATTCAGCAGCTTATGGTAGCTCCCAGCCATGCAAACCTGGGGCTGTTGTGCAACCTGGCTTCAGTGGGATCAGCCATCTGCAGAAAACTAAGCAGCCGTGAAAGTCTGTGTAAGATCAAGGGCTTGTTTCATACCTTTAACATTTTTCATGCAGCAAAACTATGACTTGGAACTCAGGTTCTGACCCCTTCCTTTCTGTCAGAAGATTCTCAATCCCAAGGATTTACAATGTCCCATTGTAAATGGGAATTTGTTTTGCTAGAGTTTCTTCTGACCCTTAATCAGCGAGGATTAGAGGCATGGAAATTTTGCAAAGGAAATATGGGTGAGGTGTCCCTGAAAGGTGTTTTGAAACATTTCTTCAAGTTGGAATGTGTCAGCTTCTAATTTAGAGAGTTGTTTTGATTATGCCTTGAACTGGGATATGGGCAGATTATATAAATCCTGTGGAGGTGATTCTCATCTTATTTTTACCCAGAGTTGTTACACTAGAGCTGTCTGATATAAAATTTGTGGTGAAGATAGGCTCTGTGGATAGGAAAAAATGGGAAAGAATTGGAGGCTTAGAATGTTATCTGCAACTGTGTTTGTTTTTCTGGTGGAACATAAAACTGGAGCTCTGAGTTCTCATTTCCACCGAGTATCTCATGACACTTAATACAAGATTTAGGGATATTATCTCTCTGAGTCGGGACAACTCAGATTATTGCATTCTGCTGCTATGAATCAAATATGAATCTAAGAATGGAAAAATGCATCTTTTAGACCTCTTTTCAAATGTCATCACTCATTCTGTCCAACAATTTGAAAAATGAAAATGTCCTTTCTGCAGTGTTTTATTTTGACTTGCTGATCTGCTTTCCTTCCTCTGCGGGGAGGGGTAAGACATTTCACACATTCACCCCAAATTATTATAAATTGCTTTGATACCCGAAACTGTCTTGTTACTAAATTTTCCCAGCTCCTCTGTGTGTTCAGAGGTCCCCTTAAATTAGTCTGTTTCAGTGTTAACTATATGAACACTGCAGTGAAATGCTGGCGGGTCAGCAGCACTGAGTTCTGGAATTTGACTGGGACTGTGGGAACATTGCAGCAAGTTTTGGTAAAAGTCTCAGGGCTGGGACTTTGCTTTGCTGGGGCAGTGACTCTTAGACATAAGTTTTCTGTCCACTGCATGAAGGACTTTTCCATGCAGACAGTCTTTCATACAAGGTGGATGAAACCAAACTACACATGGCGTGGAGATGTGTTCTGACTAATTTATCTTATTCTCTTTTTAGTAAGAATATTTATTGGGCAGGTCCCCCTGAAACTTAATATTACCTATGGGAAGTATGCAGAGCTCCTGCAGGTCGAGAGTGAAATCGTGGCGATGGTGAGTGTCACTGCTGGGACTTTGGCAATGCTGATAGGACAGGTGCCCTTTGCTCCTCTTACGGTTGTCGTGGGAAATCACGAGACTCTGTAGCGTGAATTTAGCCTTTTTAATTATTGAACTATCCTGGTCTGGTGTAAGTCAGACTGGTGAGATGTACACTTCTAAATCCCAGCACTCTTCTCTCCCCTGCCCTGCCCAAGCGGTCAAGACAGCAGCAGAGAGATCCAGCTCCTATAGGGCTTAAGACTGCACGCTTGCTCAGGAAATCCTGAAGCTCTTTTTGTGAAGTAATGTGTCTGGGTTCGTGCTTCTCTAGCTTCCAGCCTTTCTTAGTGTCTTCTGGCTGCGTTGCCTTTTCCAGACCTCAAAAGGGCCTCACTGCTCCTCCAAGGTCCCATTAAAACTGTGACTCTGAGCTTCATCGTTCATTGGTAAATCTCCCAGGTGCTGCTGTGGGTTGGACTGCAGCTGGTAACATTTGCTCTTAGCCAAACCCCGTGGGATGAAGGACAGCAGCAGCACCCCTCCCAAATACACCTTCATCTTGGTGGAGTGTCCCAGCCGTGCTATTGCAACCATGTGGCCCTTGGTCAGTTGAGAACTAGTGCTGGGTGAGCTGGTGGCTTCCCCATGTGCAGTTCCACCAGTTGCTCCAACAAGACCCCTGGGATGGGGATAGGTTCATCTCTGTGTGTTTTCAACCAGAACATTGCATGCATGAGTTTGTCCTGGTAGCAGTTCCTGGGCTGACTTCAGTTCACCCCATCTCTTTTTGGAGCTTGCTGCCCAAGGAGGGGGGAGCTGGGGTGAGTCACCTTGCTACCTGCACGGCTTGTGTTGGGGAGTGGACACCACTGACCATGTGGATCCAGGGCGAGGGGGGTTCCTTGGAAGATGTGCAGTCTCTGAGGGTGCTGCTTTTAGCTCAGCCTTGTGTGGGGCTCTCTCCCTGCTGGGTTCTGGCTCTTCCTCAGCCTTTGTGGTCATTACACAGTGGGCCCCTAGGCAGATGCTCATGCTGAAATCCCTGGGTCTTCATTCCTGTTCAAGGCTGCATGATGGTGACTTCAGCTGTCCCTCGCTGCCAACAGGACGGTACATATTTCTTACTGAGCAGATGAACTGCTGGAATGCTCCGAGCCCCCTCGGCCTCAGCAGCCAGCTCTTATGAACACAAGGGATGGTGTCCATGACCCAGGAGGGCTATTTTGTTCTGTGTCCTGCCCTGCTGCCTTCCATCACCATCATCCCCTGGGGCACTAACAGCTGCTCTCCTTCCTTGCAGCTCAATGCCTCACTGTCGGGCTTGCCGGGGTACCGCCACTCCATGGTGAAGGCAACCAGGTAAGGCTAAGTAAGGCTGCCAGGGGAAGAATGAGAAACTTGAGCATTTGGGATGTTCAACTTGAGATCCACATTCTCCATTTTGAGTTAGTGCTGGGCTTGATGCAGTCCCATGGGGATTGATGCATGGCATGGGGAATGCCCCATGCTCTCCCAGTATTTTTCTCCTGGCCTGAGCTGCTGGGGGATGGACTTGTGAGCTGCTCAGGAGGGACTTGTGGTTGGTTTCCAAGTGGTCTACTAACACCCCTACAAGCCCCAAATTTACCTCTCTGACTGAAAGTTTGTCCTGTTTTTGAGGTCTGTTGCAATGCAGAACAATTGCAGTGTGTATGCACCTTTGCATCTGTGATAAGCGACCCTTGTCTTGCTAGGAGTCTTATGTATAATGTGTGTTAAGAAGAGTCCTGTGTATAAGGTACTAATGATGACATCAAACTGACCCGTGGTACTCATTGTTTTGTTTTCCGTCAGGGAGGCAAGCATTGTGCATGTTTCAGTGCAATCCACATTCTCTTTAGCATCCAACGTGACTTTCTATGACATTATCAGCAGTGTGAGAAGCTACATTCGAGCCTGCAAATCCCCCACCGAAGCCTGCCAGTTCATCTCCAGCCTGAAACCACTCCACAGAGGTAAGTAGGATCTGGAGGGACTGTGACAGGAAGGGAAGGGGATGTTTTATTTAGCTTCTTTTATAACAGAGGGAGAAAAATGTTGGCATTTGGAAAAGCCCCTCTGAATCTTTTTTATCTTATTTAAATGGGAGTCATCTTAAGAGCCTCGCAGTACAAAAGAGATGCAGATATTGAGCCTTATCTTTGCCACATTTGTGAGAAATCTGCCTCTCTGAAAACAGCGTGCAGCGCAGGATTAGAGGCATTGTAGGGCAGTCTTTCATCTCTGGGATGTGACACCAGGCCCCGCCAGATCAAAAAGCATAAGTCTTGATTCCACCCGTGTAGCTGGGAGCTGGGGAAATGGTGTGAAAGCCGAGACAACACCCCCCAGTGAAATGGGCTGGAGCTGCTGGAGGCTGCGTGGGGAGCTCCCTGCCTGCCCAGTTTCAGTGTTGCAAGGTGTTAAAATGGTTCACAATTAAGAACTTTAGATTTCTGTACCAAATCCTTTACCTGGCAAGGGGGAATGTGGGTGTGGCACAGAGGGATCTGGAGAAGCACATCAGTGCTGTGCTGGACCTTCTCTAGGTGGACTCTTACCGGTGGTGGCGGCCCTGTGCCCTGCATGTCCCAGTCCTCAGTTTCTAAGGGAGTGATAGAGGAGATTCAGCTGTACAAGGGACCAGCAGATAAAGAGCATCCCTGAGAGATGGGCTCGTGCAAGGAAATTTCTGTGTGTAGAGCACTGTGACTTCGGGCTTCGACGTTTGGCTTTGAGGATGAAAAGCAACAACGCATAGTCTGGGTGTAGTGGAAGACTCTCCTTGGATCATTTTGGCAAAGTGAACATGAAGATGAGAAATTTAGTGTGTGCTTTCATTTTAACATACTGTATTTGAAAGCCACACTCCACCATGGACTGATTAAATTATTTTGGTAGACTGACTCAGATTATATCTAGCCACTACCTCTAATACAATGCTTTTGGTAAAGTCTACTTCTAACTTGTTCTAACTTGACCTAAACAGAATAAGAATCAAGTTATGTTCTTGTGTAAGTACTTAAAAGATGTCAGATTAAAAAAAAAAAAATGATGGATCTAGCAGGGAGAGGTTTGTAAAAGGTGAGTGCCCAGTGAGTGACATGTTTTCCATAAAATCCTATTTCTTATGAATATTTGTTCATTTGTTCATTCAATTTAGTGTGACCTCCCAGTAAAAATGTAAATCTGGTGACACAATTTCCATCATTTACCCACAGTTCTGCTGAATGCTCATTGTAGCAAATCTGTCTTTCTAAAGTAAAGGAAGTACTGTTTCAAAGTGACGTAAATGAAAGGACAAAGTCTTTGGAAAATGAAAAAATCCAGTGTTTAATATTAAAATGGAAAAAATTTGGTTTGGGCTGAGTAAAATGTTTTACTTGATATAAACTTAAAAACTGATTTGTTGAACTGTCTCAGGAGGTGAATGTGTTTCAGCTTGAGCCAAACCAAATTTTGCTTTTTCATTTCCCCTTCTGACTCCAAGCTGAAACATTTCATAGTTGCCCTCTCTATTTGCCCCTACAAACCGTGGTAGATTTGGAAGAAATCGTGCCGTAATGTAATGTTGACTGTCTCCTAATGGAACAAATGTTATTTAAAAAAAAAAAAAAAAAGAGATTAAAGCAGCTCATGAGCTGATGAGGATAGCAAATGTGCATAACAGTGGCTTCAGAGAGGACCATGCTGATGTTGGCCACCTCTTCCCAACAGCTGGCAGCTTGTGCAAGCAGAAAGACCCCGAATGTGACAGGGAAACATCTGAGTGCACCGACTTCGATGGAGTCGCACTCTGCCAGTGCAAGAGTGGGTACTTCAAATACAACAAGATGGACCACTCTTGCAGAGGTATTGCTCTTTATGTGACGTATTTTGCCCAAATTTTGCTTAAACTTTCTGTTCCAGGGGCAATGAGTGCGTGTGTATCACCGTACACGCAAGAAGCTCAATATTATGAATAAATATTAGCAACTCCAGTTTGGTTTGTTGGGGGACTTTTCAGGAGACGCTGAAGATACAGTCTCTCTCTAGGAATAATATTATCTCTTTCTGGAGCATGCTGTGAGACACAGTGATTGAGAAGAGGGAGAAAGGGGCCTGACTGCTTTGGGCTCCAGTTCAGTGGCACACAGCAGAGGTGACGTGTGTCTCTGCCTGTTTGGATTTTGTCTGAACTCTCAGTGAACGTAGGAGAAGGGCTTTAAAATCACAATGCATCCAGACATCATCAGTATTTTTAAAAGAAATATCTGAAAACTATTAGGAATTTATTTTTCAGCTGAGTTCTTAATAGAAATTTTAAGCTTAAGGGTTATATTATTTTTTAGCTACTCCTCAGAAAACCTGTTTTGGCTAAATTTTAGACAAGGTCTTTGTCCATGTGCCAGTGGTCAAAATGACTTCTGTACGATCAGGGTGTCCATTCCCTAGTTCCAGTGGCTGTTGTAGGGCTTCTTAAGAAATTCAGTTTTCTGATGACATATGAATAACAATTGCAGTAGTGGTTATATATTGCTCCTTGACAATGTCTGCTGGGTTGCTACTGAAATAGGAGGAGATGCTTTATCAATTCCAAATCTTATCAGAGAGTGAGAAAAATGTGCCTGGAAATAACTCATGTGCTACAGGCTCTAGGATGGACATCTCAGAGTTGGGCATCTCTAGGTCCCAGGTCATGGTTCTGCCTCTTCTCTACTTTGTGGTTTCAGGCAAAACCTTTCTCCTTTGTGTTTTTCTTCCCTCCCTTCATCTTGTATGTTGGGGAAAGATTTCTGTTAGGAAATACTGACCATCTCCATGGACCCCTGAGAGGCAGAGAAGGGCTTATGTAGTAGGTGGGGAGCTGAGATGGTACCTTAAAGGCTTTTGCCCCATTGTTGATGATAAGGACCCAGGGTGAGTTATTCCACTTTTCTTGTCCATGTCTCTTGCCAAGCAGTGTTGTGAAGATGAATACCTGAGAGGCTGTGAGGCACTTGGATATGATGGTTGCAGAGGGCTAAGAGATCTTGTGCATGTGGTTACATCTTACGTACAGGTCTTGTTTGCTGTGTAAAATATAAAACCTCTTACCTGCTTGCAGTGAGGCCTGAATTCCACATTGCTGTCAGTAGGAAACATCTTACTGACCAGCTTGAGGGTGTCTGAGGGTCAGGGTTGATGTGGGATGTAGGCTACAGTGCGGTGGTGTGAGGGTAGCACTGACTGCAGAGTGCCAGGCTCTGGGGAGATGCCAGGTTCTCAGCGTCACCTTGTTCCCGTCCGGGTAGACCAGGTGGTTGGGATTTCTAAAGGCTTTTTCAAAAGCCAAGCCATGGCCCTCTTTTGATATTCAGGGCTATTTTCTGATAAATATAGCATACAATATACCAACCTCTTTGAAAATACTGCCCTCTTAGTAACTAAACAGGAACTAAGGTCTCCTGAGCATCCGTCCCTCATTATGGGCTGTGAAAATGCGGCGTGGTAACACCAATTATAGTATTTGCAAAGAGGGAAACAGCCATTGTGCTCTCCTGTCTGGTCTGCCCCGTGGGAAGGTGGGTGCGGCTGGGAGAGCTCCTGTGGCCCAGGGGACTGGCCACCCTGACCCCCCAGGGATTGTTCTGTCCTGCCTTGAGATACCTGTTCCCTGGGACATGCCCCATCTTCTGGATCAAGGAAGGGTTGGGTCTCTGGGCCACAGGAGTTTCAACATGTTGGTCATGGTACCTCTTGGTATGCAGTTTGGTCTTCTCTGGGTCGTTCCTGGTGTTCAAACTTCCCGGTGTCTTTGGGGCTGTTTTAGAGAGAGGGTGACAAGCCCACTGTGCCAGCTTTTCAAGGGCATGCTATTTTTAGTAGTACAGAGCGAAGCAAGGAGCAGCAAAGCAGGTTTCCAAAGAGACCCCTGAATCTCTTCAGGAAGGCAAAGGCATCCGAGTAGAAAAACACAACTCAATAGCTTTGCTTGGCCCCTGACACTTCAGCCTTTCCTCTGGTCCCTGCTCACGTTTGAAAGCTTACCGAGTGAGTGTGACAGTGCAAGCTCTCCTGGGAGTGTGTTCAAAGGAGCAGGAAAGATGCCAGAAGAGAAAGCAAAGTGGCAGGAGAAGGCAGGGCGAGGAAAGGAAAAGACATAAGCACCAAGTGTTTAAGCAAGACAGAGATGCATGTTCAGCATCTTGCTTTCCTCTTTACTGCCCCTATAGTCTCCTGGCCTGAGAGGTGTGTGCCAGTGGGGTCCCAGGCTGCTCCTGCCCAAGGCATGGCTCCAGCTTTGAGACCACTCAAGATCTATGTGCCCTACACGTGTTATTGGGCTAGGGCTGAGGGAATGAGGTTAGGCTTGGCTTCAGCATCTGCCTGAAGGCTCCTTCAGGCCTTCTCAACAGGAATCATGGACACTTAGTTAATGATATATAGGCAAACAGTATTTCAGTACATCCACAAGCAAGGCCAGGCATCCAAGAGTGGAGTGCCAGGCACACCATGGGTTGTGTCTCCTGGAAAGCAGAGACTTGGGCAGAGCTGCAGAGGGGGCTTGCTGAGTAAAGAAGAGATCCCTAGCTGTAGCTTGTAAGAGTAATACCATCCCTGTGTGCATTTAAGGGGCACAGCCAGGCAGATGAGAGGAAGTTCTGTTATTCCTGGGCTTATAACAACTATTTCTGTGAACCAGAAATCAGAAGGGTCAAGGAGAACCTGTGAGCATTCAGGGAAAACCTGCAATAACTCGGGAGACTCAAAGATCTCAGTGCACTTGGCTTTATTAAAGGCAAATGAGTGATTTGATGGTGAGGAGGAGAGATGTGATCATATAACTTTTTCCAGTCTAGCAAGTAAACATCCAAAGTCTGGAATTTGACACTGGGATAATTCAGACCAGAAAGAAGGTGCATGTTTTTAATGGCTGAGGAAATGAACTTTATGAGAGTCTGACCCAGGAGTGGTTGATTGTCACTGAAAATATTAAAATCAATCTTGGATGGCTCTCTAAAATGTAGCTCCAGTTCAACTATTTGATTTGAAGCTGGAATTAAATTTAGGGAAGCTTTGTGACCTGTATTATGAGGGGGAGGTCACAGTCACATTGCTCCCTGCTGGCATCAGTATCACTTGTTATTGGAGCTGGAAGAGCCATAAACTTCTTTTTTCCAGGCAGAATACTAGTGCTCTCTCTTGGTTTACTGTGATATTGCCAACCCATCCTAGTGGACAACTCTGCTTGTTTGTCCTTCTTTTCTTCCTTCTCCCCCTCCAGCACGAAGCATTTCTGGAGGAACAGTCATTGCCCTCAGGCTTATCTGGGACCTGCTAGAAGCCCCCTCCTCTCCCCACATATTTCCTCACACTTGCTGGGGTTGGAGACCACCTGAGCTTTTGGCTATGGGTTTCAGGCTACAGTTAGAGAGCAGGGCAGAGGGAAGAGGGCTTGAGAGCTGCTGCCTCACCATTTTTGAGCATATGGTGTTTGAATGAAAAAAAAAATCCAATAATGTTTTGTTCACTTTACAATCTAGTTTTATTCCCTGTGGAGTGTGCTGCCAGGGTTTCCTTGACCTCTGGGTGGTCTTGCAGCTCCTCAAGACTGCTGCAAGTGCTGGCCCTGGCTTGTCCCTCTGCCAGAGCAACTCCATCCGTGCCACTCCTACTCAGGTCTTTGAGTGGCCACCTTCACTGCCTCTGCGAAAGGCAGCAGATCTGCAGGAGCTCTGGTGGGACTGTTGCTGGGAAAAGCAGTGATCTTATCAGTAATTCAAAGCTTAGAATTGTATGTCCAATGTATCATCACCCTTGTTGCTCATCAGAGGGGTAGTGTAATTTTCTCAGGTAGTTCAGGTGATGACTTCAAAATAAAATAGTTTTTGTGCTTATGGACAGCTACAGTTTCAGTTTTTCACCAACATTTTGTACAAAGCAGTTTTCTGGATTATTTAGGCCTGAATTTAATTTCTGTTCTATAGTAAAATATGGTATTTTAAAATTTGGTTTAGCTGCAAATTTGAAAGACAAGAAAAAATAGTGATATGAGGCAAAACTTCATATACCACTTTGGATTACCTCGTCTGTGTTTGCATAACATTTTATTGCAATACCAACATTTAAAAGCAATTAATAATGTACATCAGTGCTAAAGTAGCCCTGCTCAAATGAAGTTTCAAAACCAAAACTGGAGGCAAGACTTCTGACACTGCTGTTCATGGCAAGTGGTATACATGTGCAGGGAGTTTTCAGCTGGGTGAGAAGAGATTCTGCTGGGAACTACGTTACCAGCTGTCCACCCTGTTCTGGGCTCTGGGCTAGTTTTCCTGGGAAGCCCTGAAATAGTCCCATCAAAGCCAGCGGGAGGTGAATTTAAGTGTTTTGCCTAAACCAGAGGAGTTATTACATCACATCAGAGCTGTGCCAGCAGCTCAGGCTGCCTTGTTGGTGCCCGAGGTGGTTTGGGGTGTGAGGCTGCCGTGGGGAGAGGCAGAGGGAAATGCTCCCCTGTACCAACCGCTGCATGATGCTTGTGGACCTTCTCCTGTTTCTGTTTCTAGCCTGTGAAGATGGATATAAACTGGAAAACGAGACCTGTGTGAGGTACGTTGACTGCTCTGCCCTCCTCTTTCCTCACCATCCTTCTTAATATTGCTGTGGTGATCTCTTGGCACAAGCAAGCCACTGAAATTCCCTGTTTTCTGTTTCCAGCTGCCCATTTGGCTTAGGTGGATTCAACTGTGGAAACCGTAAGTACCAAGATTTGTTTCTTTTAATGCCCACATCATCAGAAATTGGAAATTTGAAACAAGGAATTGCAAATGACTGTGTCTAAAGTCCAGTAGGTTTATGCTGCTCTTGTCAGTGGTTTTTCTTTCTTCACTTCCCATTGAAAATTATTTTGTTAGCCTTCCTTGACAAAGTTGACTTAATATTATCTGCTAAGAAAAGGAGATCTCCTTTCTCTGGATGCTCTCCTGATAGCACATATAGTGGACATAGTTGAAGCAAGATATTCAGAGCTGAATCCATGAAACACTGACGGTTTTTCTGACCTGTCAGTGAAGGGTATCCATCCCCTAGGGAAACAAAAGCTTGTTCTTCCTCCAGCAGGAGATTCCCATTTTGCTTGACAACTTAAGGCAACGTTGCTTACAGAGGGAGGGAAGGTGGGAATGAGCAGTTAATCCCTTTGCAGGAGGACTGTGGGTATGTTTGCCTCAGTATTTACAAGCCCATGGCTGTTGCTAAGTAAGCCTCTGTCTTTCCTCTCTGTAGCATACCAGCTCATCACTGTGGTGATTGCAGCAGCAGGAGGAGGACTTCTGCTTATCATGGGCATAGCCCTGATTGTCACCTGCTGCCGGTAGGTACCACCACCAGCCCTGGCTCACCTCTGGGTTACACCTCACTGAGTGCTCCATGTGTGAACCCTGAGGCACCAAAACACATAAGTGAACACATAGGGTATCTAAGCAAGTGGATTAGAGATACTAGAGTATTATTACATTGTGCTTTCATTTGGGGCATTTTTTTTTTTTTTCTTCTAGCAACCAGGCTGAAAAATCAAACTGGACATCTCTTAAGGATGTGCTTGGCAATCCTGTTCTCTAAGGATGGAGAGGCAAAGGTGTCCTTCCCACTCACAGCTGTAAGGCAGCTGAGGAACAGTCTCCAAAAACACATCTAAGTAGGAAGGAGAAGTTGAGGCAACAGGAAGGGTTGCTGGCCATTGCCCAAGTGGTGTTTGAGTGTATTTAAGGCTATTTTCAGTTTTCTTCATGGACCAGCCCTGCGTGTGCTCTCAGTCTGTGTGTGAGACCTCAGACACACGTAGCTCCCATACCAGCAGGTAGCTTTGGGATAGAGGCAAGATGTGCTTGCTGATGAAGCCCTGCTCTGTGATTTATGTAGCATGAAAAGGGCTGCCTGAAGTAACACCCTCTCCCCCCAGTTCCAGCTGCCAAATACAAGATTTCAAAGCTCTCTGATTAAAGTCAGCAGCTGGATTTATCAGTAATACAGATGTGGCACTGATTGGGTTGGTACAGTGGTGTGCGCTTGTTCCCTTGTGTTTTGAGCCAGGGGGATGCCAGCAAGCCCCAGCTGGGAGGTGTGGTGCCCAGTACACTTCCAGGCCCTGGAATACAGGTGTCTGCAGAGATGAACTGATCTTATGAGTCCTGGCCTTTGGCAGGTTATGTGACCTCCTGGAGGGTACTCTGCTTTGAACTGGAAGTGTTGCCGAGTCCATTCGTACAACATGGTATGAATGTTGTATGATCTCCTTTCTACCATGACTATATGGTAGTCATGTAGGGGCATTTGATGTCCTTCAGACCGGGCCCTTGCAAGTCTTCCTTGTTAGGAATTAACGTACTGCCTAGAAGTGCTATAGTTAACCACATGGAGACTTGAATAGCATGGAGACTCCCATATGCTTTTCTTTCTTCCTAGATTTCTGTGACTTTTTTATTGACTCAGGGGAACACACATATTTTTAATGTGTGTTCATAAGCTGGAACAGGAGAGGTTCAAACTGAATGTAAATAAAATCTCTGTCACTAGAAGGACAGCAAGGCAGTGGAACAGGTTTCTCAGAGAGGTTATGCCGTCTCCATCCCTGGAGATTCCAATCCCACCAGATAATGTTTTGAGTAGCATGATCTGACTTCATATATGATTTTGCCTCAGAGCAGAAGATTGGACTGTAGCTATTCTAGAGGTGACCTTTGTTCCCTGTCAAGGCTCATAACATGAAGTAGACCTCCTGAAATCACGTCAGAAGTGCATACAAGATAGCAGGATAAGTTGTATGTTTTCTCTTTCCTTCATTATTTTATAAACAGGAAGAATAAAAATGACATAAGTAAACTCATTTTCAAGAGTGGGGATTTCCAGATGTCACCGTATGCTGAATATCCGAAGAATCCCCGGGCACAGGAGTGGGGCAGAGAGACCATAGAGATGCAGGAGAACGGAAGCACCAAGAACCTGTTGCAGATGACAGATGTGTATTATTCGGTATCTATCCGTAGCTTAACTATTAACCCTTTGTGCCTGATACAGGAAAGACACATTCCATTATTTTTGGAAGTACAGATCTATTTCCTGCAAATTACGTCCATAGGCAGCAAGGCATTGGGAGTCCTGTGGACTCTAGCTATTACATATGGTGAATATCACAAAGAGAAGTCATTAGGAAGAGTGCTAGGGAAATGTCTAGGAACATTATGTTAGATGCCCCAAAAAAACAATTCTAGAATTGACTAGGAGAAGTAAAAGTTTTGGACAGACTTCTGGGGGTCCCTGTGGGTAGTTTTCTCCCTTCCATCTTCATTGCTGATGCTGGAAGGTTGAGACATCTGCCTGGGAGACTTCACCCCAAGATGGGAAGATGCTGGTTACTGAGGAGCCCTCTTCCACTCCTTCCCTTTCCAGGGTACAGGCCCCTTCCTGCAGCAGAAAGGGTGCATAAGGAGTATCCCTTAAGCTCTTAGGGAACAAGTGGCAGGAAATTAGTGATGAAAGACTAATAGACTGTCTAGGGCGCAAGACTTGCTGTCATGGTTGGTACCATCTGCTAATGCCTGTCTCTGGAGCTGTGGTGCTGGTGTATCATCTGTCACTCATCTACAACAACATAGTGTATGTAGTTAAGGTGTGTGTGGGTTACTCATGAGCAAAGGTTGCATGTTTCCACACGAATCACACGTTAATGACTCCTGCTTTCCAGAGCAGAGAGCAATATGTTTTTTTTCTGGCTTCTATTACAAATTTTCCGGTAAGCAAGTTTGCACAGCATGAAGGGAGATAATCCTCCTTCCTCCTTCCTGTAAGAATGAGAGCTTTGGAAATGAAAATGTGTTTCCTAAACATTTTTAAAGACTTCTGTTACGTTGGCAACTAGAAAAAGCAGCTTTGTAGCAAGCAGTAGATGATGAGGGTTTTGTATAGATCTACTTTGTAACAGGTCAGCCTTAGTGGTTTGATGTTATTTACTGGGTGAAACGATTGTACAGTCTTGTTCTTGCACATCAGAGTTCCTCAACCAAATGCCCCCAGGAGATTTACTAAAGTAAGAGGGGGGAAGAAAAGGGAAAGTCATATGACTTTGTATTTGACATATAATTCCAGTGCCTGTGTTGGGAGAGTAGGTACCTGTGGTTAATGGGCAGAGAAGTGCTCCCACATAATGCCCAGAGAAGAAGACTATGATTTTCTAGAAGCATTTCCTTCAAGGATGACTCTGGGACAATATCATCTTTGTGAGAGTTGTTTCAATTCCTGAGCTCATCAGCAGAGTACTCTTAGATTAAAAATTAACTGTGTACTTAGATTGCACTTGGTGGAGCCAGGTAAACTTCAAGTCTGCTAACTGGCAAGCTGTCGAAATTAGATTGCATCAGTGTAACACCTTCAGGCAATGCATAACTCCCGCAGTAAAAATCGTTCTAGGTTACAGACGTCATTAGTGGTCACGTTGTTCCTTCTAGCTACTGAAGTGAGAGGTGATAGGGCTGTGCCTGAAGGAGGATTTGAGTGTGACAATAAGACTCTTTTTATTTATTTTTTTTCACTACTACAGCCAGCTGGACTGAGAAATCCTGAGCTGGAAAGAAATGGACTTTATCCTCCCTACACTGGTTTGCCTGGATCTCGACATTCATGCATCTACCCTGGACAATACAATCCATCCTTCATTAGTGATGAAACCAGAAGAAGAGACTATTTTTAGCAGGGAGTGGAGAGGTAGTGGAAGATTGACACAGTTTTGTGGCCCTTGATGCCCAGGTACAATCTGTCTCCTGGGCAGTTCAGCCCACATCAATCTTACTCCTCCCATTTAACAGGAAGGACTTTGAACTTCATGCCGAGCATTGCTGCCCTGAGGAAGTTACACTTGATGAGCAGCAGAGAGAAGGAGGAGGGAATGGCTCAAGGTGCACATCACTAAAAGACCCAGATGGAAGTTAACACATCCTTCTGATTTGTTCTGTGCTGCTTCTTCACTCTTTAAACTCTGTGGCAAGTGAGGATCAGTAGAGGCAGATGAGCTGTGCCCAACACTCTGCATTGAATACCACTAGGGAGTGTTTTGTTTACACATCTTGTTCACTGTTGGCTGTGCTGGTCTTCTTAGCCACTCTTCATGCAAAGATTCGCTCTGCAGCTGCTTTTGGTAGGGCAAGTTTTTCCACTCTCTTTCACATGGCTGCATTGCTTTCTGTTTCGTACATGGCAGGGAAGCTGGCTTGTCCCCTGGCCCTCACCTTCTTACTGGTAGAAGTTCTCCAGGCAGTCAGGTCCTTGCTGAAGCCTGGTGCCTGGCAATGTTGGCTGAATTTGTGGGCTAATTGTCTGCAAGGATTATGGGAAAGTTAGTCATACCACTGCGATTTTAACTGCAAAAACCCACAGTTGATCCTATGCTCTGCTTTGAAAGCTTCCTGTGTGTAGGGAGGAGTCTAAGTATGTTGTTTTGTCAACCAACGTTGTTCAGAAGTGATGACACTACATGTCATCACACTGCTTCTATCTTATGGGGTTCTGTTTCCCTGCAGGGATTTAAATGCCTGTAGAAACACCAATATAATGTTAAATAGTTGCTCACCAGGAAGAAAAAGATGAGCCAGGAATTCAGCATGCTCCTTATGAGGTATCTGGGAAGGAGCAATAATGGCATTGCCCTGGCTGGGCTGATGGAACCTGAATTCTGGGCACTGCAGGTGGGACAGTTCTGAATCCTTCACAGCCCACTTCAACTTCTGTAGGAGCTATGGAGGCTTTCAGTACATGGGAAAATAAGGCTCAAAGCAGTCAGCTGCATTTAAGGGAGAGACAACCACGATGGTTTCAATCCTAGCAGAGCAAAGATCACTTAATCTGAAGTGTTTTGCTTTCTCCCATCCTACTTTCAAGTGGCCAGGCAGGTTTCTTCGCCTAGGTATGTTAATTCATCTGAAGCATCTTGGCAAAAGCTGAAGAATGCAAGTTACTGTATTTCTAACCAAAGGTTGGATTGAAAGCTCATGAACTGTATTCTGACCTGAGCTGGGTGTTGAAAGAGATCTTACTAATGAAGTATATTTACTGCTTATCTTTACTGCAGCATTATGCTGTGTCATCCAAACCCTGTCCAAATACAGAGTCTCGATATGGATCCTTCCCCTGGATGTGACTGTGCTTTTAATTAAAGGTGGCTGCTTGTACGAGGATAACAAATAGTGTAGCTCCTTAGCCATTAACCCATCATCTCTGTAGTGCAGTTTCACTCACGGGCACACACTCCCTGATATCCCCTTCTCCCCTGCAGTGCTTGAAAAGACACAGTGCCTACAAATTCATACGCATTCATAGAGTGGCTCAGCTGACTGAAGCACAGAGGACCATGAGATGTGTCCCCCAGAGTGCTTACCCAAAGTGAGAACAGCAGTTATCTACTACGTAGAAACAGTGGTGTGGGCTCGCAGAAAACCAGATCTTTATGGATGCCTAGGGCAGTGTCCTTTGTACTTACATGACCTTGTGGTGATGATGTATGCACCTTCACACCTGTCTGGTCCACCACCAGCCTCACAGGTGATGGTACACAGCTTATCTCAGCTGTAGGGAGGAAATTAATGGATACTTATGGGAAGTGCAGCTGCCTAAAGAGCTATATTTAAGGAAATCTCTAGTTACAGTAGCCAAAATAGTGTAATAGGTAAAGCACAAGAACTACCTGTTCCCTGCCATGCTGATCAGTGTTTCCAGTCCATGAAAGATGTTCTTCTCCCTTTCTTTAGCAGCCAATGTCTTAATTACGTAGGATCCATTGGATAATGGGAACTAAGGTCTTGAGCCTGCTGTGCTGTGGGGTCCTTCAAAGAGGGCATTGGCAGAGGTGTTCCTGTGCAGGTGAGTTGCCTCTGTTTTTGAGAGTGCCTAGGACAGAAAGGACTGCCTTTCCCATGCTATGGAGGAGGGTTTTGTCTATGTACAAAAAAAAAAAAAAAAGAGGGAAGCTGGGATTCATGCTAAATCTAAATCCAAAGTGTGTAGACAAGCACTGGGCACTGACCCTATTTACTAAAGCTGCTTAGCAAAGAGGAAGAGTGTCCCAGCAGTGATGGCAGGATTTAACCATGGGCAGTGTTTTGTCAGATAGGGAAGAGCTTAAGCACATGCTTATAGGCAAATATGCTTAGTTGCTTGATTAGTTCAAGGACTGGGAAATGTTCCTGTGATTCCGTGTGCTAAGTACAAAAGGCATAGTAGGAACTATCACTTGACAGTTGCAGATCAATTCGTCTATATAAAGAGTAACATGGGCTCTATGAACAAAACTCCTGGTCTGTATCTCACAGCAAACTGAAAATTGCAAGGGAGTTTAGAGGAAATAAGAAAGGGCTGTTCCTAATGGAGAGCACGCAAAAGTTTGCAAGTAATTAATTGTCTTTATTTATGATCTTCAAATTCTTTTTAACGATGCATGTGAAGTGAAAGGGTCTCAGTAAACCCAGCAGGATTTTCTCTGAGTGAGGACTACTAAACTCAGCTTTTTCCAGAAGAGAGAACTTCATGGCACTGAAAGTTTCTCTCTGCCAGAGCAAGTAGACATTGGGAAATTTCTTAGGAGAATGTATCCATTGCATCCTGCCCTTCCTTTTAGCTGTGGTAAGAAAGAAGGCACGGAGCCAGCTCATAGCCCACAGTGGGAGGAGGAGGAGGAGGAGGGCCTCCCCTGACCTGCAGCACCTTCTCTGGCATGCTAGGAGGCCGTGCTCGGGAGGCATGAGAGGAGCTGGGCAGGGGTCAGGGCCGGGCTGGGTGCAGGTGCTTTCCCACACCGGGATGCAGGAAGTCTTTGCGGAGCCGGCAGATGCAGCCCGGGGCTGCCGAGTCTCCAGCAGCCCAGCCGCTCCCTGTGCCGCCAGCTTCCCTCTTCAGCCTGGCGGGAGGGGTGGCTGCAGTGGAGTGTTTTATGACAGTTATTTTACTGCAGTTATTTCCTACCACATCCCAGCAGCAACGGGCTTGCCCGGCCACGGCAGGGATGGGACCTGTTTCTGTGCAGCTTGCCTCTGTTGAACCTGACACTGGGGTCTTCTCTGTCTGCTTCCACTTCTGCCATAAACTAAGCACCCCCTGCCAGTGGAATGGAGCTTGTTGCTCCTGTCGGATGTGAGAAGGGTTTTCACGTGCCCTCAAGCACACTTTCAAACGTGGATACCTCTCTGTTTAATACCTAACTCCTTGGAGGATGTCTAAATAAATGCAGATAATTTCTCAGACTATTTAGATCACTTTTAGCTACCCTAAATTGCAAATTTTGAGCATACTTGATGTTTTTGCCAAGTGGAATTGCTCTCTACTGGCCAAGAGAATAAGATAGAAGTGGCACGTTTCTTGTAAGGAAGATGCAAGTGGTCAGCCAGGTGTGGGGAAAGGAAGAAAAGCTACACCAACACTACACAGAAATCTGCTCTTGCTTCTGACTGCTGTGGAAAGCTAGGGGAGCAGCCAGCAAGCGGTTGTGTGGGTATATTTTTTATTAACTTTGGAAAAAATGCTAATTTTGTTGCTTGATAGGAAAAGGCGTGAGGTATACATTTGTTGCAATGGTGCTCTGCCAGTTGTGCTGACAGAAGCCCTTCACCCACAAAAACACCCCTGGCAGGCAGCCTAGGAGAGGCAGCCCCAGTGAACAGAGCAGCAAAGTGCAGATTTGAGGGACCTTTCAAAAGGGAGGTTTGTACACACAGCCTTCCCGTGTCCCTGCCATGCACTGCTGCCCTGGCCAGCCCTCCCAGCTGCACTGGAAAAATCAGGGGCTTTTTCCATACTGTTGAAACCTGACAGCACTGAATTGGGCTATATGAGGAAAAAACAGGACCGGGGCATGTTGCTGCCCTTTGCCCTCCACCTTTAAATCAGTAGGTGACACAGCAGCAACGAACCAATGAACCTCATTGCTGTTGCAGTGTTTACTGTAAAGTCCCAATGTCATGGTCATGTACTGAGTCACACCTTGTGAAACAGCCTTCTGAAAGGTATTTACCTCCACACTGAGCAGTAGTAAATGGCTTTAAAAATAGCAATAAATTGCAGCTAGAGAGAGGTGTTTGTCATTGTGGAATGGCTTGTGCCAATACCTGGAAAAGTGGTTTGCCAGGACCTGACGGGGAGAGCAGCAGGGCAGGGCTGGGCATTGCTGCAGATAGCCTGCGTGCTTCCCCACAGGCTTCCCCCATTTGTCACTAATGCTGATCCATGGCCATATCTGTTCCAAATCCAGCTGGACTTCTCATTCCCTCATAACGATGTTTAATCTTTAGTTTTCTTCCCTAAATTCACAAGAACGGAGGCATTTTACTTAAATGCTCTTCCTGTGCTGACTAATATTTTATCCTGTTTAAACACAAAGGACCAAATCCAGCATCTGTTATAGTGACCAGGGGTAACTCTCTCATGGACTATAATGAAGTTTTCTCTAGGCCTGGACTATTCCACCACCACTACCATGTGTGTAGTACATGCTTTCCTGTGGCTCTGTGTCCTGCCTGTTTCTGTGATACTGTTGTTGCCCTTCCACGTTGTATTTATTTTTTCAAAAGTATACTTATTACTGTAGCAGGACCTGTATTATGTGAGATTGAACAAAACAGGTTCAAGATCTGAAACGCCTTCTGAAGAAGAGAATGAATGTGAATTTTGTGTACTTATTTTAATGATCAGCCAACCTGTTTCCTATCA